ATTTTAGAGAACTCTAGAATGCCTCAACGACGATAATATTTTCAAAATCATCTCACAAATCCTTAAATGATTTTTAAAGCCGTATGAGCGAACCTAGATATATAAGATATTAAAGATTTGAGTTTTATTCTGAGCTTAGTACTTAGAATATTTCGCTCAATATATTTTGTAGCTTGAGGAGAGTCGAGCCTCCATCAGCTACCCATTCCGGTTATATTCAGCATTCGCTTTTCGCCAGTTTCCAGGTGGGGACCATGTACTGTGTATTTCATCGCTTTTAATAATTTACCATGTCTGAGATCTATATGTGATTAAATTGAAGGACCGAGACGGATGAGTGATCCCGTCTTGGTCAAGATGTCAGATGTCAGTTGTGACTTGGTTGAGTGGGCGATGCCCAGCCTAAGTCTAGCGTCCAGATGGGGTGATTAGTGCCTTTTTTGGATTTCTGTGGGAGGGGACCCCCAGAGTGTGCACATGAGTACCGGTTTACCGTTAGTCCCATAGCCAGACCAGTTTTCTCATATATATGTTGATTCCATAGTTTATTACTGAGTATTCAGTGCCGGTACTGGCGGAGCACCGTTGATTCCTTTGTGCTCACGCCTCCCCACTACCCTATTTTTCAGGTGATGGAGTCCCGCGTGGAGCGTGAGCACTTATGTGGTGTTGGTCCAGCTTCAGGACATTTTTGTGAAAACATGTCATATAGTATTTGAACATGTTTAAATTATCTATGTTTGAATTATGCTTGTGTGCTTTCTGAACTTGTACTTGCTTCCGCGTGTTAGACTTGTGTTTCAGATGTCAGATTTCAGACTATAATTTCAGATGTTAGATTATGTGAGATTTTCAGAATATGCATGTTTTAGCCGGTATTATTCATGGCCTTAATTCTAGAATGATTATACTTGGTCGCATGCATGATAGATTATAGTGATAAAGATATAAGATTAAAGTTGAGTAGAATCCCGCGTTTTTAAAGTTAAAGTATTTTCGAAAAAAAAATAATATGAGTTTTCGAAAATTAAATAGTGCTTTCCTTTTATAGCGCGAAAAATTTACTCTGATTTTAGTAAGTTTTAGGCGGGGTGTTACAGTTGGTATCAGAGCCACTTAGTGGTTCTGTATACTAAAATTTTAGTAAGATATGACCACACCACGCTCACGCCACGCCGACTCCGAGGTACGTCACATGTACAACTCTTATTTGCGAATGCATATTTAATTATATTCAGATTATTTTAGGGGCGTTAGATCTATCCTTCTATTAAGATTTGAGAATTCTAGTCAGAACTCTAGTAAGAACTTAGAGGATTTTAGTGTACCCGGAACTCTAGCCAAGCTAGGTGTTTTCGGAATCCGATAACTTATTAAAGTATAGTGTATTAATCGACTATACTGCTTCAGTTAGAATTTCAGCAGAGATTGTTAACTTTGAGAACTTCTGTTAACTTTCTTGAGTAATTAATTCTCCGTCAAATATTCAATACTTTCTGCTAATCCCTGTCATTTGACCATTCAGATGCCTCCTCGTCGAGCCCCGATTCCAGCACCGCCCCCGCCGGCCGCGCCAGTGCGCGATCAGGCCTTTTCAGTTTCTCAGTTCCGCGGGTACCACCCTGCGACGTTCAAGGGGCAGGGAGACCCGAGGCTTGTCGACGAGTGGCTGCGCAGCCTTGACATGATTTTTGAGGTGATGGACTGCCCCGAGCCTCACAGGATCATGTGTGCACAGCTACAAATGATAGGGGATGCAGGTCTCTGGTGGCATTCGTACTGGGAGATGCGACTCGGGGAGAAGCTGGCCCTCACTTGGGCTGGTCTGAAGGCGCTCCTCCGGGAGAAGTATTACCCGGCCCACTACAGAGAGAGGATGGAGAGGCAGTTCTTAGCACTGGAGCAGGGTGCTAGGACTGTCGATGAGTATGAGAGGGACTTCACTCGCCTCGGCTTCTTCGTGCCGTACTTGATTGATACAGAGGAGACGAGGGCGAGGCGCTTCAAGGGCGGTCTTCGCGGGGAGATTCGCCACCATCTCGCGGGCCTTGGCGCCCTGACTAATGTTGAGACCGTTTCTAGGGCTCAGCAGATTGATGAGAGTCTCCGACTGGAGGCCATCTGTACTCGCGCCGCCCGTCAGCAAGCTCACCAGCCACCGGCTCAGCAGCCTGTACTGCCGCCACCACAGCAGGCCCCACTTCAGCCAGCGCAGCGGCAGCACAAGAGGAGAGGCAGAGGCCGCCACGACATGAGGGTCAGACCGAGGGGCCCAACCCCAGCTCCGCCTGCTCAGCCACTTCAGCAGGTTGTACCAGCCTGTGCTACATGTGGACGCCACCATCCTGGTGAGTGTCTTGCTGGGCGAGGCATCTGCTTCCATTGCCGAAGGCCAGGACACCGGAGGGAGGATTGCCAGACAGAGTTCAGCATCAGCAGGGTCAGCGTCAGCCGGCCCCGAACCAGCTACGTGGAGCACCAGCATGCGTCTACGCACTTGACCAGGCACAGGCCGCCGAGCAGCCAGGTACCATGTCCGGGATGATTTCTTTATGTGATGTGCCTATCTTTGCGTTGTTCGACACCGGGGCGACACATTCGTTCGTCTCGGCCAAGTGTCTAGAGGCCATAGGGGTCCGAAGAGTGAGTGTCGTCGACCCCCTCGAGATCAGCTTAGCTTTGGGGAGGAAGATAGTTACGAGCTCCTTGGCCGAGAATCTTAGCTTGAGTATTGGTGGCAGATCTTTAGAGGTGGATGCATTCGTGATCGAGATGAGGAACTTTGACCTCATTCTCGGCATGGATTGGTTGGAGAGATATCAGGCAGACATTCGATGTCGTCATAGAGAGGTGACACTACACTTAGCCGAGTGAGATCGTATCACGTTCTTCGGGACGAAGACGAGGACCCTACCCCGAGTCATTTCGATGGCAAAGGCGACTAAGTGTTTGCAGAGAGAGAATTGCCAGGGATACCTGGTGAGCATAGTCGGGGAACCTTCAGAGGAGCGGATGCCCGGAGATGTACCCATTGTGCGTGATTTCGTGGACGTCTTTACAGATCAGCTACCGGGAGGACCACCTAGTCGTCAGGTGGAGTTCACGATTGACCTGGTGCCTGGAGCCGGGCCAGTGTCGAAAGCGCCGTATCGTATGGCGCCGAAGGAGATTCAGAAGTAGAAGGCTCAGATTCAGAAGCTTTTGAGTCTCAGTTTCATTCGACCGAGCGTCTCTCCTTGGGGAGCACCTGTCCTTTTCGTGAAGAAGAAGGACGGGACCTTGCGTATGTGCATCGATTACCGGGATTTGAACCGGTTGACAGTGAAGAACAAGTATCCACTCCCCAGGATCGAGGATTTGTTTGACCAGCTTAGGGTAGGGATGTAAACAAATCAAACATTTTTTATTCGATTCGTGATTCGAAATGGATATTCGTGATTCGAATTCAAAATATTCGAATTCGAATGATGTTTTAGATTCGAAATTATAACGAATTCGAATTCGAATATGTAGATATTCGATTCAAAATTCGAATATTCGATTCGTTAACAATAATTATATAAATTTTACAAATTATACATAATATACATTTTGTTTATAATATATGTATATATATATATATATATATTGTTATATTCCTAATATTTTTATGACATAAAAAGTAAAAACATCATAAATTGACAAAATTTTCTAAAAATATATGAAAAATAAAATTTATTTTTGTAATTATAATATTTTTTAAGTATAATATTTTTTTGAAAACGAATTTCGAATCGAATCGAATATGTTCGAATATTCTAAACAAATCGAATACGAATCAAAAAATGAATTCGTTATCGAATCGAATCACGAATCGAATCTTCGAATATTTTAAACGAATCGAATCGAATCTCTGGGTATTCGCTTTGATTCGATTCATTTACAACCCAAGCTGAGGGGCGCCCGTGTATTTTCCCGGATAGATCTACGACCGGGCTACCACCAGCAGAAGATCAAGGACTCTGACGTGGCTAAGACCGCGTTTCGTACTCGATACAGTCACTATGAGTTTGTCGTGATGTCGTTCGGCTTGACCAATGTGCCGGCGGTATTCATGGATCTCATGAACCGTGTCTTCCACCCATTCTTGGACCAGTTTGTCATCGTCTTCATAGATGAAATTTTGGTCTACTCGAGGAGCGCAGCCCAGCACGAGGAGCATTTGAGGATCGTGTTGGAGACTCTTAGGCGGGAGAGACTATACGCAAAGTTCTCGAAGTGCGAGTTTTGGCTTGATTGAGTGGCGTTCCTCGGTCACATCGTTACGGCCGAGGGCATTGAGGTCGATCCTGGGAAGATCGAGGCAGTGAGGAACTGGTCAGCACCGAGGTCTGTTACCGAGATACGGAGTTTTCTCGGGTTAGCAGGCTACTACAGGAGGTTCATTGAGGGGTTTTCGAAGATAGCCCTACCCTTGACACGTTTGACAAGGAAATGGGCTAAGTTTGAGTGGAGTCGTCGCTGTGAGTCGAGCTTTCAGGAGCTCAAGAAGAGGTTGACTACAGCGCCCGTGCTGACTATACCAGACCCTACACGGAGTTTCACTATCTATAGTGATGCTTCGAAGCACGGACTTGGGTGCGTGCTGATGCAGGAGGGCAAGGTTGTCGCATACTATTCGCGGCAACTGAAGCCCCACGAGGAGAACTACCCGACTCACGACCTTGAGTTGGCAGCCGTTGTTCACGCACTCAATATATGGAGGCACTATTTATATGGTGGTCGGTGTGAGATCTACACCGATCACAAGTGGTTGCAGTATATCTTCACGCAGAAGGAGCTCAACATGCGCCAGAGGCGATGGTTGGAGCTAGTGAAGGATTATGATTGTACCATTCAGTATCATCCGGGGAAGGCGAACGTGGTAGCTGATGCCCTTAGCCGAAAGGCAAGGGGCGAGTTGACTTGCATGATCACCCAGCAGAGTCAGCTCCTTCGAGATTTCGCTCGGATGCAGTTAGACGTCGTCGAGTCACTTCCCACGATGCCTGTAGTAAGAGGTGTTCGGTCGATGAGAGTGTGGCCCATGCTCCGAGACCGAGTTCAGAGAGATCAGTCGTTGATGAGTTCGTCCGTTCCATGAGGGCGAAGGTTGTTGCCGAGGGCGTAGAGGGGTTTTACCGAGGCGTAGATGGTGCCTTGGAGTATAAGGGAAGGCTCGTTGTGCCGAATGTTGAGGCCCTGAGGAAGGAGATCTTGACCGAGGCTCACAGTGCACCCTATTTGGCGCACCCCGGCAGCACCAAGATGTACCACGACCTGAAAGGGTCGTTTTGGTAGAGGGGCATGAAGAGAGATGTTGCTGAGTTTGTGAAGAAGTGCTTGGTTTGCCAGCAGGTGAAAGCCGAGCACAAGTTTCCACCGGGTTTAGTACAACCCTTGGAGATCCCAATTGTGGAAGTGGGAAGAGCTTACTATGGATTCCGTTACGGGACTACCCAAATCGAGGGAGCAGCATGATGCGGTTTGGGTAGTTGTGGACCGACTGACGAAGTCGGCTCGTTTCTTGCCCGTGCGGATGACGATGTCCATGGAGCAGCTCGCGAGTATCTATATCCGCGGGGTAGTGCGACTTCATGGAGTCGCCAAGGTCATAGTGTCAGATCGAGATCCCTGTTTTACCGGTCAGTTCTGGAAGAGCCTCAGCGAGGCCGTGGGGACATAATTGAGGTTCAGTACCGCTTTCCACCCGCAGACCGACGGACAGTCGGAGCGGACCATCCAGACACTCGAGGACATGCTTCGAGCATGTGTTCTGGACCGTGGTAGTTCATGGGAGGAGTTGTTGCCGCTGATTGAGTTCGCGTACAACAACAGCTATTAGGCGTCGATCAAGATGGCACCGTACGAGGCATTGTACGGTCGCAAGTGCCGATCACCCCTTTATTGGAATGAGGTCGGCGAACGGTAGGTTCTCGGTCCGAAGCTGATCGAGGACACGGTGGAGAAGGTTGCCTTGATCCGTGAGCGGATGAAGGTGGCACAGGATCGACAGAAGCGTTACGCTAACCAGCGTAGACGAGATATGCAGTTCGAGAAGGGAGATAAGGCATTCCTGAAGATCACGCCTTTGAGAGGCGTGGTCCGCTTCGTGAAGAGGGGGAAGCTGCAGCCCTGTTTCTTAGGCCCATTCGAGATCTTCGAGCGAGTGGGTGAGGCAGCATACCGGTTGGCGTTGCCACCCGAGCTTTTGGGTGTGCACAACGTCTTCCACGTTTCGATGCTGAAGGATTACGTGTATGACCCAGCGCACTTGTTAAGTTACAGTGAGCTTGACGTCGGGCAGGACCTGACGTACGAGGTGCAGCCGATTGCCATTCTGGACCGAAAGGTTCAACAGTTGAGGAGAAGAGATGTAGCGCTCGTTCGAGTCCAGTGGACTCGCCACGGCGAGGCCGAGGCCACGTGGGAGCGAGAGGAGGAGATTCGTGCTCGTTATCCTGATTTCCAGTTCTGATTAGTACTATGTATTTTCGATTCCTAGTTTATAGTCGTGTCGGACTTATGATTAGTTTTGGAATTTCTGAGGATGGAAGTATTTTAAGGAGGATAGATTGTAACGCCCAGATTTTATATTACTATTTATGGAGCTCGATTATATTTCCATAAATATTAAGTTTCTAAATTTGATGCATTTATTATATTTATTTGCATTAAATTAAATAATTAGTATCAAAGTCTAAGCCATGAATAATTCTTTCGACTTTAATTATTAAAGTTGGAATTTAATTTAAGCGAACCAAAGCCGGATAATTTGATTATTCGAGCCCAATTAATTTTGAGAATCCAATAATTTTAGTCGGCCATTTTAATTCGAATAGTCGAATTAATTTCCAAGTCCAAGCGATAATTTTAATATCGAGCCCTCGTAGTATTTTAATTCTGGGCCCAATATTAATTTTCGGCCAAGTCGAAATTATTACAAGCCGTCATATTTTTTAATTAACCGACCCTATTATATTCCTAAGTCTAGTCTAGTAAATATTCGGCCCAAGTCGAATTTAATTATCGAGCCCAACTCGAGTAACATTTCTAGCCCGACTTAGTAATTGTTAGGCCCGATTTTAGACCCAAAAAGAACAAAACCCTAATCTCCCCTAAACCTTATATAAATAGATTGTCTCTCCTTTTCCAACAACAAAAACCCTAGCACACAAACTACTATTCATCTTCTTCTACCTTTAGACTTGAGTTTAGTTTTTGCAAAAATCAAAAACCCACTTTCAAAACACCAAGAAAATGAAGCTTTCTTCCATCTCCAACATGTCT